AGGTCTCTGCTTCAGTTCCTGCCTCCAGATTTTTGTTTTGAATTCCTGTCCTACCTTGCCTAAATGATGAACAGTGGAAGTGTAAGCCAAATAAACGCTTTCCTCCCCTAGCATGGTTTTGGTCAGCATTTTCTTATAGTAAAAGAGGAGCAAACTAAAACAGGAAGTGGCCCCAGGGAGTGGGCTATTGCTATGGCAAGCCTGATCATCTAGTGTTCGGAATGTTCAACCAGAAGTCATCGAGAGTTCGATTCTTAATAGGCTGTTCTGGGGAACATATAAGTATTAGAGAAATTAGATGGTAGAGGCCTGGCTTATGAAGATTCCAAGGGAAGCAAATACTAACAGGGCTGTTTAAGTGATACATTTGAATTAAGAATCTGTGGTTTCTGGTCCGCTGAGGCTGAAAAATGAGCTGTGACTAATGAGAGACAAAATCTTCATGGAGGCACTTCCTCTGAGTCAGCACACAAAAGATGTGGCCCAGTGATTGTTGGGGTGGGGGTAAGGGGCTAAGGCTGTATCTCAAGCTATCAACTGAACATGATAATGTTTAAGAGTCTCCCACAGAGTAGTGGCTTTAGAAGCATGAAAATGGCAAGATTGAAGAGGTCATAGGGAGAAGCTGAGACTTGGCAATGTGTGGCAGGGTTTGAGTTACCGCAGAAAGGCCAGGAAGCCACTGGTGAAGGTGTAATCTCAGCTGCAGTAGAGACTCCAAGGTATTAAAAATGCCAGGGTCATAGGACAGCTACCAGGACAGGAGCAGGTATGGAGTGGACACGGCCTGAACCTATGAGATGAGCTATATGTGCTGTGTTTGGCAGAACTGAAGATGTGAAGTAGTCCAGCCTCTTTGGGGCCCAGAAGATCACAAGGGATGAAACTCAGCTACACTGCTGGACCCTGGTTGTGCTTTTATCTAACGACAACTGTGAGTCTTCCTTCTTGGAATAAATAGTACTTAACTTGCTTTTTTATTTACTAGGAGCCCACAGTGAAGATACTGGATATTTCAAAGAGACATCAAACTTTCAAGTGATGGAATAATAAAAAGACTGTGGAACCTTTAAAGATGTCTTATATTTTATATTGTGATTTTAATATTAGCATAATCACAGGAGCAAACAGGAATGGAAAGGTTATGGTTTAATGCTGTTATGTTTATGTGTCAAGTTAACAAGGGGCCAATTATTCTGGTTAGTTTTTGTCAACTTAACAAAAATGGAAATACCTGAGAAGAGGAATTGCCTCCATCAGATCGTCTCTTGCAGGTACATCTATGAGGCATTTTCCTGATTAATGAATGACGCAGGAGGGCAAGTGGTCCTGGATGGTTTAAGAAAGCAAGCTAAACAAGTTGTGGGGAACAAGCCAGTAAGTAGCATTCTTCCAAGTTCTCTACTTCAGTTCCTGCCTCCAGATTCCTGCCTTGAATTCTTGCCCTAATGATGGACTTCCCTTGATGATGGACTGTGACACGGAAGTATAAGCCAGATAAATGCTCCCCTCCCAGGTCAGGGCTTCATCACAGCAATGGAAACTTAACGTGGACAAACTTGTGCTCCTTTTTCTCCATTTTCTGCTCACTCATATAACTGTCCCTAATCTCTTTCTCAATCTCAGCTTGAATAGCTGGTTGCCTGCTCAACATCTCCTTTTGGATATCTGGAATGAGTCCCTAGCTCAGCAAATGCAAATTCTGAGCTCTTGATTTCCATGTCTAATTCCAAAGTACATCTTCCCTCATGCCTCCCGTCTCAGCAAATGCTCAGTCCTCCAAGTTAAAAACATGAGAAGCTATTATCACTTCTCACACCGAGAAATTCTGTCAGTTTCCCACATTTCTCCACTTCTACCATTCTCTCTCTAGCCACATCCACCTCACTCACCACTTAGACGATTTGCATCAGTCTCATGTTTGTATTTTCATTTTAAACTTTATATACACTTTATCTTTGATCTGAGTAACAGCCAGCACTGTGATTCTAGTACATCAGTTAGATGATGTCACATCCTTAGGAATATCCATTCAAATGTGTCTCACTAAAGAATCCAAAGATCCGGCCTTCCAATCTGGATAAGATACAGGATCTAAAGATGTTCTACCCACCCTCTTCATTCCTTTAATTACCAAACAACCAAAACCCTCTGGACAAAATCTGTACGTTAGATATAAAAGCACAGTGCTGGAGAAAAGAAAGCAGCCGCACTGGAGGGTTCAGGTCTGGAAGAATGACGCAAGCTTTGGTGTGTTTTGTGTCATGTGTGTCCTTGTCTGTGCTCACCCGAAACACCAGCAAGTACACAGACAGACAGACAGACAGACAGACAGACACACACACACACACACACACACACACACACACTAGCCATTTGTTCTAGTCATAGAACAGAGCAGGAGAAAGTGGAGAAGCGCATAAATATATTGACCATAACTGTTTGTTCCAGGTGAATACCAGGAGAAAGAAACACACAGCCAACCATACTCTGCAGATGCTGCATCCTTCCGGATCCTGGCGCTGTGCAGCCTGCACCTCTGCAGATGCTGCATCCTTCCGGATCCTGGCACTGTGCTGCCTGCACCTCTGCAGATGCTGCAGCCTTCCGGATCCTGGCACTGTGCTGCCTGCACCTCTGCCCTGCTACAATGAAGCACTATGCATTCTCCTTCGACCTAGAAGAAGGAGGTAAAAAATCCTGCAAAGACCTCTATGCATACACTTCAGAATCAACACTGCAGAAAATCCAAATTTAAATGAATTTGGAATGCTTTTTAGAATTTCTCTAGTCTCTAGGAGGCAAAAATGGGACTAAGCCAAAACAGCACTTCAAGACTTTGAGAGCCAAACTGACATTTGAGCCACAGCCTACAAAGGTATGCTAGGATGAGCATTTTTAATATAAATGCTGAATCCTCACTAAAATAGAAGGTTTAAATAGAAAATAGTCTCATATCTAGTACTCACAATGCTCATGATGAAATATAAAACTACTCATTGTAGCAAAATCATTAAAAAAAATCTCAACCTGAGTAAGGAAAACTGGATAAAACACAACTTTATTTGGAGGTTCCATGTGTTGGAATTTTCTGTAATAAATCTGAAGTAGCCACAATAAAATGTTACCATAAAAATTGTAAATTCTTGCCGGGCGGTGGTGGCGCATGCCTTTAATCCCAGCACTCGGGACGCAGAGGCAGGCAGATCTCTGTGAGTTCGAGGCCAGCGTGGTCTACCAAGTGAGTTCCAGGAAAGGCACAAAGCTACACAAAGAAACCCTGTCTCGAAAAACCAAAAAAAAAAAAATTGTAAATTCTCTTTAAACAAGGAAATAAAAGGCTTAGGAAAGAAATAGAAAATAGAAAAAAAAAAAAAAAAAAAAATAGAAGTTTTAGACCTGAAAACTACAATTAATGAGATTGAAAATGGATCCACTCAAGAGCAGCCTGGAGATGAAAGAGTTAAAAAGTCAGTGTTTTTCAGGAGATGACTGTGAGAGGGAGGGGGTAGAAGAACAAGCTCATCTCATGCTAACTTAAAGTTAATTAAAAGGGGAGAGGAACTATAAGAGAGGTTGAAGAGGTAGGTCTAAAGGGAGAGGAGGGGGAGGGGCGAGAGGGTCACAGAGCAGATGTGACATGAGGTACAGGATGGACTGTTTGGAAGGAAGAAGAAACCAGCGCACATGGGGAAAGGGTTGAAAGAAGGCAGAGGTGGGTTTGAGTAAGAATAGAGTATGGGGAATGTTACACACACACACACACACACACACACACACACACACACACACACATACACACATACACACATATACACACAGAAATACCACCCCAAAACCCAGTACTTCATATGCTAACTAAAACTAGTTAATGATTTTATTAGAAAATAAGTCAGTGCAAAAAGGGGGGGAATCAGTACATCTGAAGATACAGGAATAGAAATTATCCAATTTCAACAACAGAGAGAAAATACATTGGAAAATGAGCAGACCTCAGAAGCTACAAGAAAAAAAAAGAATATTTACATCATCTGTGTTCTAGAGAAGATAATGTAAAATCCTTTGTGTATGTGTGTGCGCGCGCGCGCGCGAGCATTTTGTATATATATACATAGGCAGGTGTACACACACATGTAGACTAAAATTTCCCCAAATATAACACATAAACCTACAAATTCAAAGGCCTGAGCAAAGCTCTAACACAATAAAGTCAAGGAAATCTAACCCTAATCACACAATAACCAAATTGTCACAAACTGAAAGCTAAGAAGCAACCCCAGTAACAAGT